TGGAACAAACACTGCCCAGCAGCAGCTCATGCAACAGATGCTACAGATGTTTGCTGGAGGGAATGCATCGGTACTTACGCTTTTTTGTTGTTAATAACATTGTCAGTGTTTCACATTAATTACCTGTATTCTGGTGGCCTGCTACAGTCTAATCCAGGGTTCCTCAAATCTTGCCCTGGAGGGCCAATGCGCTGCAGAGTTTAACTCCAGCCCTGATCAAACTCACCTACCTGTGATTTTCTAATGATCCTGAAGACTTTGATTAGCATGCTCAGGTGTGTTTGATTAAGGTTAGAACTAAACTGAGACAGCAGTTACCTGTATTTATACAGCAGGTGTGTTCAGTTTGCGTTGTTGTAGATTGTCTATGGGGTATAGGTTTAATTTGCTTTTATTTGCTAACTGACTTTTTTTCCTGACTCACTTGCAGATGCAGAACCCAGAATCCCTTTCTGTCATGACAAATCCTCGAGCCATGCGAGCCCTAATGCAGATCCAGGAGGGACTGCAAACCCTTCAAACCGAAGCCCCTGGTCTTATGCCCAGGTGCAGTTCCAGTTCCACAGTTTTTTTTTTTTAAATTATTATTATTATTTTTTTTTTTAAGTAGTCCCAGTTATGCTAATCATTGCTCCATGTATTCAATCAATATTACAGTATAAACTTTACATAGTGTGAAATATTATTATTATTATAAATATATGTAAAATGTATTTTGTTCATGTGATTCAAAGCTTAATTTTTCAGCAACCATTTCTCCAGTCTTCAATGATTCTTCAGACATCATTCTTAACATTTCTTATAATAATCAGTGGAATGTTTTTGTGGCAACTATGATACTTTTTTGTTGTTGCTTCTTTAATGAATAGAAAGTTCAAAAGAATAGCATTTTTGAAATTTATTTTTGTAACATGAATGCATTTACTTGCACTTGAGTTTAATGCATCTTTGCTTAATAAAAGTAATATCTTTATTATTTTTTTTATTATTATATTTTTTCACACTTTTGCATGGTTATATATCATGTTTTCCACAAAAATATTAAGTAGCATTGAATAAGAATTTGAAGTTGATATATTGAAACGGATAGTTTGAGGTATTTTTAGTATTTGAAGTTTTGAGTTTTTTTTTTTTGTGAGTTTTATATCGCTTAGCTACTTCGTTCTCTACAGAATGAAAAGAACACATCCTCTTTCTACTAGTTATTTCCCACTTGGCTTTGTCGTCAAGTAAATGCAGCTTCCTCTAGATTAGAGCACACGTGCTTAGTAAATGGGTTTGTTTTATTCCAGTTATGTAAATTAGTTGACGGATCCCATAATCTAAACAAACAGTGTGGCAATATCTGCACTTTACCAAATAAATGTGACTCGTCTCTTTCTAGTCTGATACCTGGTGGGATGGCTGCTGTGCTGGAGGGAATGCATCGGTACTTACGCTTTTTTGTTGTTAATAACATTGTCAGTGTTTCACATTAATTACCTGTATTCTGGTGGCCTGCTACAGTCTAATCCAGGGTTCCTCAAATCTTGCCCTGGAGGGCCAATGCGCTGCAGAGTTTAACTCCAGCCCTGATCAAACTCACCTACCTGTGATTTTCTAATGATCCTGAAGACTTTGATTAGCATGCTCAGGTGTGTTTGATTAGGGTTAGAGCTAAACTCTGCAGGAAAGTGGATCTCGTGGGCCAGATTTGAGGATCCCTGGTCTAATCTGTCTTGGAACAGTTTAAAAATGAAACAAATATTTTTACATTCTCATAATAACTTAAAATGTCTTTGACGATGTGTTTTTTGCCATTTCTTCGGCAAAGCATCTGTCAAGTGAACAAAAATCAAACGCACAATGTGTTATAGTGCCCTAATTGCAAAAGGCTGTGATTTAATTAAGTGTATAGTCTGTTGTGCTAAGTGTTTCAAAGCAAGGTGCACAGTTTGCTCACGATCAGCTTGCGATCCACGTTTTTAACATTTTTGTAGACAGATTATTACAGTATTTCAACAGATTTGTAATGAGAACCTGTTTTCACAGAAATGGCAGGTTTCCACAAATAACAGCTTGAGGGTTTCACTCTCGCAATTGAAGAAATTAAAACGAAACTATTGTAATTTTCCCAGTTGTAACGTAAAATATGCTTAATACAAAATATTCCGTTTTCACTTCTGTTTATTTTACAGTGCAGTTGTAATACAATAATAATATATTACTGACTTGGGAACAATGCTCAGATTTCTACTATTACTAATAAAACTATCAGACTGTAATACTATTATTATATTCTAATTCTTTGGCATCTCTAAAATCAGTGTGACTGAACTGAAAAGATGTTTGGAGTCCAGATACAAATCAGTGCAGAGACTTGTTATTCCATTCAGGTTAAACACTGAAAATGGGCTGGAGCAGACTTTAAAATGTGCAACATTCTGAAAGCTGTATCACCAAATCCTGTGGGAAACACCGAGTGTGCTGTGTATATTTGATTGTACTCACTACTTCTCACCTCGCTTTGCAGACTCCGACTCCGGAAGTGCGTTTCCAGCAACAGCTGGAGCAGCTGAGTGCCATGGGCTTCATCAACAGGGAAGCCAACCTTCAGGCCCTCATCGCCACCGGGAGTTTTGGAGATGAGATTTGGAAAAGCTATTCAGCCATCTCTAGTCGTTTGCCTTTGTGAGGAGTGTACATGAATTGACCGTAAAGGCTTGTCATATGGGTAAGGTTGTAACAAAGCATCAATAAAATATTTCTCAGCTTAACAAGCAGTGGCGAATGTAGACACCATTTGTTTCGACCATATCTTTATGCTTTGCTATAGAAGTATTCTAGTGCCTGGAACACACTTGTATTGTGTACTGGATACATCATCCTCGAGTTGATCTGGCAAAACAACAATGGGTTACAGCATGATAGTGATGCTAGCTTCTCTCAGTGCTAACCAACAGCTGTCTAATGGAACTTACAGAGTTTTATTGTGAATTTAAAATGTCTTTTTTTTTTTTTTTTTGCTGCACGTCCATAATCCACTCTTTATTCTACTTGAATTACATTACAGAAACCAATATTCATTGGGGTTTGTAGTCCCTTCTAGCATCTGGTTTTGTCTTAAATCCAATGTT